AAAACAATCTTTAAATGCCTCAATTGTGTCTTTTACATATGTTTTATAACCAAACAATATTCTCTTAGTACTAATTATTTAATGTACAAATAGTTAACGTACTTCACAAATATTCACTTGCTTAACATAAAACAAGCTAGATCCCATATCGGGTTGGCCTTTATTTTTAAGTTTCAAGACAAAGTTGATAGATATTCCAGACGAAGTTGCACTTTTTGCTCCAAAGTTTCTACAAGACCGGGTGTCGCCTAAGTTTCGTCGGTTTTGAGATATTGTGTGCGTTTTTTCCTTTTTATATGGTTCGCTTAGAAAACATCCTCTTTTACTCTTATTTCGGCCGAAATGCAGTAAAGAATATACAAAAGGGTATATTTATATTAACACGATAAAGTGGCCACTCTAGTCTACTCGAATTTTAATTTTACCCATCTAAATAAATAAGACAGTGTTAATCTCTTCATTATTAAAACCATTTGTATCCATCCAATATTTTAATGCTTACGACTGTATTAAGTTAGTTTTACCAAAAGGCTTCTCTAAATGTTCACTTTGCTTGGATCTAATAAATTCCAAATTCGACAGACTGCTGAGAAAATTCGGGCATTTTATGTATAACAACACAGGCATGAGGCTATCATACATTTTTTATGGAATTGAAAAGTGTATTTTGTATCTTGGTGTGCACATCATGCGTTTGGATATTTATAAGTAGTGAGCGGGGGAGCGATCTGGGGGTAGAATGCGGGACTTGGGCCCCAAGGTCCCAGGTTCAAATCTAACTGACCACCAATGGACTTTAGCTGTGATAATGCCACAACCCTCTACCCCTTGCGTGTAGGATCGTGCAAACAGATTCCTGGCCAGAGCATACAGCCTATAATGTGGTGTCCTATAATTGTCCAAGGAAGGGGAAAAGAAATAATGAAATATGTACGCAACTTTTATCTGTGTCATTGGTTTACAACTCATGCCAATCACGCTGTCAACTAATGTTACATTATTACGATAACGTTACTTTCAAAAATCGTGACTGTTATCAATCCAATCGTGCAATTTAAACGAGAAATCAATGTTGCAGTTATTAGCTTGATGAAAGTGAGTCATAATAATAGGTTGATGACATAAAATGGCTTAAACACCGTTGTGGCGTGACGATACGGCTAGGGTGGTCGTGGGGGAAATGGATGGTGGGTGGTGGGGAAAGAGAGAGAGGGGGGAGAGAGAGAAAGGGGGGGGAGAGAGGGAGAGAGAGAGAGAGAGAGAGAGAGAGAGGGAGAGAGAGAGAGAGAGAGTCCGGTGGAAGGGGGAATCGATTATCAAGGTCGCAGACATTTCCCCTTCAACCATTTCAACCCTTTGCCCCTCTAAAAAACACTAATCGCCAAGCCATTGCCCGCGATCATACTCATCAACATGCAGATGGTTAATTGCGATTGTTAAATAATGAACATTGGGTTCCAAAAATGGCTTCTTTACAAATAAGTCATCATATTACAGTAACGAGAGCAGGGTGTGAACCGTTTCCTTAAACTTAGAAAAATGCCAATTAGCAAATTACAAAATTTAATTAGGATACAGCCAGGAATATTAGAACAGAAACAATGGATCATTAACACAAACAAATGACGTCACTGACTGTAATGCCTATACTAATAGCTGTAACAGCTGATGGTTTGACAGTTACATTTTAATATACATAACTAGTGGCTTGTAGGGGCCATAGCCCCTAATTTAGACTAAAATAAAAAACCATATATAAAAATACATATAATCGAAATATGTTTTTAAAATTATCAATTGTATGTTACTTAAAATTAACAGTGTTTCTTGTTTTATATCTTGGGTTTCCTTCCGTTGGAGTAGTATATTAGTTGCTTCTAATGTGTCAATGAAATACAAAAGTAAAATAATGATTAAATCAATAACACAACATATTAACAAATGGAAACGTGCACACGGTTTGGCCTGAGCCCGGAGAACGACGAATCAGAGCTGAAATCATACAGCCAAACATTGCACATCGTTTCTAGTTTAAAATTGAAGATTTGTTTTGTAATCCTACGAATTCTGTTATAGTTTCCATTTTGAGAACCAAATGTAAAGTTTAATATTATTATTAATTATTATGAGGGCAACTCTTCCATTTCGCGGTAGTAAGTCTGAAATATATCTATGAATCTGTCCCTGAATTTTAAGACAGTACGGCCCATTTCCCGGAATATCTTTTTGTGTAGCGGAAAGCGATGCAAAAGCCATTGCACTGTTGTAAAGCCTTATTATTATTATTATTAGCCTCATGTTTTTTATGAAGTTCGAATCATGTAAAACAGTTCATTTAGTTCGTCCTTTAATTGTGGTTGTGGCATGTCCATTATGGCAACATGCGTTGAAATGTCCATTTGTGGCGTCCTCTGCGAAGTGAAATGCGCCACAATGCATGCAAGTGCTTTAGGAGGACCTAGATTGTGAGAAGCAACACTCAACTCATTTTCCAGCGTTCTTCTAAAGACAGGTTGTAAAACAGCTTCTGGATTTCTTTCACAGTTAGGCCCTACATGACGTTCTCTTTTGCATTTCTTAAGTCTGTTTAATTCCTGGACACTCTTCCACGTCTTGCATGTCTTTCCCTACCCTGTCTAGTTAGTTCACTCATTATAAAAACGAAAAACGAAAAACAAAAAAATAAACACAATTCATTTTGAAACATTGTTTACCAACATTGACTTTCGGAATCAATGTAAACATTGCAAATAAATAAGTAACAGCTGATAGAATGCAGACGTTTTTCAGTCCCCATGCATTTCTTATGGTGGATATTTTACGTTATATCTCGTTTTCTGGCAACTTTATGGGAATTCTACTATTTTTCCCGAGTCCCTGGGGTCAAGATCTTTAATTTAAGACCGCTCCCACTTTTCTGCGACTTACCAGACGTCCACAATTTTCTGGTAAAAATTTGGTCTTACAGAATTATACATATAGATATCATAGTACTTTTGGGCCAGTGACATCATTTGGTTTATGTTTATGAGCCATGCCGTTTCTGATCAAAATGTCATTGTATTCAGCCTAAGACCTTGCTACCGATTAGAGGCCAATAAGATTTAAATGTGTTGTCTCTCAAGGTTTGATGTAAAAAAATATGTTTATTGCTACATACAAATCACAAAATAACAATCGACTGATTACAAAACTATACACTAAAGTTAAACTCACCCAAAACAATATTTTAACAAAATATAAACAAAATACAAACGCCAGTAGTTGCAGTTACTTATTTTAAGTAAAAAGTATATCATATTAGTACTAAAGGTCGAAAAAGAAAGTGAAACCAGGTGGTAAATTGTTGGAGGTACGAGATAGGTAAAAAAAGAAGAATAGAAGGAGGGTGGAAGATAGGTTTAGTTAGGTTAAAGATGTTATGTGTTTTTTTTCAATAACACAAATGAAATTCTAAACGAAGTGAGAGGAAATGTTGGTATTAGTGGTAAACGATGGAACATTCTGACAAATAGTCTCCCGAGTCTTAACCAATTACCAAAGCTGAGAGGAATACCAAGTGGCCGATCTCTATCCTCCTCAGTTGCGTCTTATCCACTTACTTGGAAATGTAAAATCAATTCGCAACGTTCACTAGAGTGTTTACAACGTCGTATACTGTTTGCTTTTGTATTACTTTGAAAAAAATATTCATACACGGAATTTTTGTGGGTAGATATGGATTCTGGATTGAATTAGACCTGCAGATAATTTATGGTACTTACCTTTTGTATCACAGCTACCTTCAACTCCAGTCCAAGGCGTTCGAAGTGGCAACACTGTCAGTAGTGCTGTTTAACAATATGAATAACACACGATTAAATGAGAGGGCGCCACCTGTCTGCCATGTTAGCTTATGGGACGTCTGGTGCGAAACACTAAACAGCACTGCTAGTGCTACTGTACTACGTACGTTGAAAATTCTACCAGGTCGCGGCCTAGGAGGATTAAACATTATGTTAAACATTGATGTTTAATCCTCCTAGGTCGTGGCCTGGAGTTAAAGGGGGTTTTGTGCTTGTATCCATCAAACGTATTGTGGAAAAAATGTTAAGGAACATGGAGCGCACAAATTGGTCTTTAGGTTTTTTCCATTTTGATAGGTATATATTATATGAATTCACTGTATTATGTGGGCACTAAAATGCAGTATAATGTCAAAATGTATTTGTGTTGAGTTGATAAAAACTATCTGAGTATAAGTTGGGAACCTGAAAACATTGAACGAATTTTCTGGATCCGACTAGTACAAGATAGTCATGAAGAAAACAGTAAATAAAATATGTGTAGGATATTGTTTCTTTTAGTTACCATATTTTTATGGAACCTGTATGATTCTATAATTTACAGTAAAGCTTTATAAACACATTAAAAGTCTTGTTGATTGGATTCTACAAGTACTGACAGCAAGCAACTTTGTCTTGATGGTGGAAGTGTTCATATTGGGAATACTCATACACGTTTCACTCATTGTATTTTGTTTATAAATCCTCCTAAAAGAACATACTGTAAAGCAATTACGGATGTATGAGTTATTTCTCAAGTGTATAATGAATACTTGCATATCCTCTTCAGTTTTGGCTATTCCTAGGTTTTGGGTGTTATGGAGTCTTCATCTTCTCATATTCCTCTAAGATTTATCTTCCTTCGACATCTACCAAAGCATTTATTTCTTCTCCATATCCTGGTTATCTTCACCTCGGTTTACTTTTTTCAAGACTTCCTTTCAGTACCATCCCCTTTATTCCCTTTATATATGTATATTATTTATTACATGACTCCATTATCCTGGGAATTTTCTCATCTCTCATCCTTCTCTTTTTGCTGATTTATATATCTTAGCATTGCTTATCCTAATTCTAACTGTGATCCCTAGTTTGCCAAAGAAATATCCCCTCAATCTAAAGGACTGTTTTCCATCAATTTTGTTTAGATTCTCAAAAAGTGTTTCTCTTTTCCAGAGGATAATGGACTCTGCCGAGCAGGCAGCCCTTTCCCAGAAGATGGAAGGAGGGACGCCCAAATATCTCAACAGCCGAAGAATGGGGGACGATATTATGCTGATACCCAACAGACATTTTGATCAGCAGCCTGTAAACACCAGCTTCAGCAGTGTGCTGATGCCACAAGCATTGTCCGACTCAGGTTTGTAGTATTATTTTAGTAGGTAACATACCTTAGTATCATTACTGAATCAATATGATGAAAAATCGTCTATGAGTCCTTAGCAAAAGTTGCATAAGCTATGTTTTCTGTGGGTGGTGATGAATGGATGAGTTTTGGTGACTCGTTCACTGTGATCTCCCAGCTGCATCAGCTTATCTTACAAAATGGCTGTTGCTGTTTATTTTTTTTAATAACGTTTTATTGTTAACGCATATTCCAAATAAACTGTAAAGTTTGTTCTTAAAACGTGGGTTTACATATTGATAGAATTACTTAAAACCAAAACCAACCTCTTATGACTTCAGGAGAAAATTTCACCTACATTTCATACCGCACTAACGGCACCTTGTTTAAGAAAATATCCTTCTGCGTTACGTTTCAGGGTGGGAGGGGACTGGTGGTATGCAGCACAGATGGGGAGAACGAAGGGTTAAAAATTTCGACAAACGCGTTACGTAATTAATACTATAGACTTAGGAGAATTAAAAGGACATGTATGTGGACGGCCCCTGAGTTCAGATATAAACTGTTTTTGCTACACTACTTTAAATAACGTGCTATAAGTTTATACCCGGAACAGTTCCACAATCAATCAACAAATTTCTAGAAATTGTGGAACATCTTCAGTTATAATACTATTGTAGACTATATAATTGTTCATGTTTAATGTTTTCCTCTTTGCCTTTACTTCACCGTAACCTCCGGTCTTGCATTGTCTGTCGTCTGTTGAACGTGAACGTGAACGAACAGCTGACTGCGAGTTAACTGAGTGAATACTGAATGCTTTGTTATTGTTTTGATTGATATATTTGAAATGTTTTTACAAGTTAAAATTAAGTTACACCCAGTTAATTGTGTTTATTAGGAAATAAAGTTAGCAGTTGTGTTAAATTATCTTGTCAAATTGATTTTTTCAACATCTTTATTACCTTAAAGTTCTTAACCTAATTTAAAAACGTTTATCATGTCTATGACAACTTGGAAGTAAAATTGGTGGAAAGGGTCTAAAATTGTGTTTCTTTCTTAACAATCCTGTTAAGAGTAAAAAAAAGGTTTTCATAATGTGTTGTAGGCCTACTGTACCTGTTAGAAAACCATGAATCTAGAATACTTACTATCCATCTTCATAGTATTCATCTCCACACTGGCTCCACACTGGAACTGAAGAAGATGGAAATACGTTTACCATTTCACATTAGACTCTTACTGATCAAATCACGAGTGTTTCCCCACTTCAATTACTGTAATACTGTGGTTAATAATATGACCGTGGTTTTGGCAACAAAATTGCAACGAGCTCAAAATTACTGTATAAGATTTTTGTATGACCTTCGACGAGATGATCACGTTACACCGTATTATAAATTCTTCTCTCTTAAAACTATCCGATGTTAGAGAAATACGCGGATTAATATAACTCATTCGGCCATCGATTCAAAAATTCCAATAATCTTACGAACAATTTTTCATTTTAGGTGATTATTTTAGATGAAATAGGTGCAAGAAATACCCATGGCTCATCCAGCAACTTTCGAAATTCCTCACCATAAGACAACAGTTTATAATTGATCATTTACAGTAACAGCATTTCACCTTTGGAACTCCCTACCCTTCACCATCAGGAGCATAGAATCCCGTACCAGACTGACGGTGGCGCTGAAAGCGTACTACCTCGATCGGATGACTGTGGCTTGGCAGGATACGGCGTGTGTTAGGCCTAGGTGTAGCAAAGAGTGAATGTGTGTGTGTATTATTGACAAAGAATAAATCACTTTAGGTTTTTCTTATTATTGTGTTTTTAGTTTAAAAAGTGTTATAAAAATGTAGCCCATTGTTTAGTTTATATTTAGTACATAAAAGGTTAACTGTAAGAAAGGACCATGTGCTCCTAATGTTCGCCTCAATAAAAAGTATTTTCATTTCATAGTAATGTTAATGAATTAAAATTTAAAACACAGGTAATGGTTTAAATACAATCCTGATTCCCGTGAAGAAAGGCAAAAATACTGCAAAAAAGCTTTCCTTGCCGATTTTGTACCAAGAACCGAGGTACAAAATAATGTATCTTATTGTGCTTACCTTATATTTTCTGTACCACAGACCCCTAACAAATCAATCAAGCTCATTTGTTGTTTTTCAGATCCTCTAGTTGCCAACTCACTGAGATGGTCTGAGCATTTAGATCCTGTCTTTGTAAACAACTATGAAGTAGATCCTACACTCTCCTGGCAGTTCTACGGCAGCACTTCAGGGTTCCTGAGAAGGTTTCCAGGTAGGCCTACTGGCATTCAATAAGATATCGTCTGAGAAGGTACTGGTAGTAACTTATTTAATGTAAAAATAACTGTAATGTTGGATTTTTCATTTCTCAATTCTTTACTTGACTATGCATTTGACTATGCAAAACAAAACTGTTCTGACTAATTAGGAAGCTATCTTACTGTTAAAGTTTGTCTGTGTATGTTATTACCGTTTCACATATCTAACTATAATAAACATCTGGTTGTATGGTTTGAGCTTGTCTCACACACCAACAGTGTCTTTTCAACCTGTGTTCATTCCCCCCTCTGTTTATCTCCAACCATTAAACATTAGTGTCTAAGTTTTTAAGTCACTTTAAGTGATTGAATAGGCATACTTTAAAAAAAAATATGTTGGGACTGTTAAAAATCTTGAAATAGGGGCAGAACATTTTTAAAACACAAGGGGTTTCCTAAGAGTTTAAGGTAGGTTACATTGTTAACATCTAGCCTTGACTATAAACTTAAAGTAAATGAAACTAAGATTTAAGAGACGATTATAAAGCAAGTTCCGTTTGATTCTGTCTACATTGATCACTAGATGCTACCCTGTTCTAGTTGTTGGCTTGAGTAAAGTTCAGGTTTACAATATCTGCACCACTGTCAAACTCTTTAGGTGGTTGATTTGATTATTGCAGCTACAATGTTTTGTAGGTATAGGTACCCAACATTAGTACATCATCAGGTCCATCCCTCAAAGTTGAGGTTGTCGTAGTTTTACAAGTATAGTATAATGATAATAAAACAGCTGTAGTCTTACTAAATTACACATTATCATATGACAGGAGCACACCAAACCTTAACTTTGCTTGGGTTAACAATCCAGAGGCTATTCCATCAAAAAAAATTTGCTTAAGATAGAATTTTTACTTTGCTTTTCTTTCCAATCTCTGAAACAAACCACTCAAACACTCGCAGAAATTCACCTTGAACAACTTTTCCAGCGATGAAGTGGCCAACCGATGAAGTTACCCCAGTGCAAGACCTGCACAACTTCCGACTGAGCAATTGGTTTGTGGGGGCCGCTGATAGTCCCAAAGACGTTGTGATTCTTCTGGACACCTCAAGTTCTATGACAGGTCTCAACAAACAACTGGCGAAGGCTGTTGTCTCGACAATACTCGACACTCTCACTGACAATGACTTTGTCAATGTGTTCACCTTTTCTGAAATGACGCAGGAACTTCTTCCGTGTTACAAAGACATGCTTGCACAGGTAAGACGTGTATGAGATTATAGAACAGGTTTGGGGTTTCCAACGTGGAACACTATTTTGGTTTCCTATAGTCTCTTAAGAAGACTAAGTTCTGTCTTCCAAGGAAGTCTATCCTTCTTTAAGAGAATGGAGACATTTGTTTAAATTGTTTATTTGGTTCAACTATGAGGGAACTATAACAGACAATGATTTTTTTCTTGTGGATGGATCCTTTTGGCTCTAGTATTGTCTGAAGAATGTACAAAGCCACAAAATCTAAGAAATCCACTTTGTCTTCCCCTAGAGTTTCTGGGGAATTACCTTCCTCAAGCAACTACCATCCTGGTGTTTGTATTTTCTACAGACCAGCGAACAAACAATATTTCATAAAAATTTTTCTAAGCTGACTCATTAAGGTAATAAATCTATAAAAGAATATCTTTAAACAATAAGCAAACTATTTGTTCACTGATATACTTTCAACCTGTGTCCACACATAAAGTATATCTTCATTCTTTATTTCAGTTATAGCGCTTAGTGGATAACATGCAATTTGTCTTACTATCCTCAAGTTATCATTTTTTTCCACAATGAATTTTTCTTTCCAGGCAACCGATGCAAACAGAAGAGAGTTGAAATCTGGTTTAGATAACGTCAAGTCTGAAAATATCGCAAACTTTACTGGTGCTTTTGTAACTGCCTTTGAAATTCTACATAAAGTAAGTTTAACTTATTCATGTATTCTTCATACATAATATTTTTATTTTTATTATTTGGTAGGTACCGTACTTTACATTGAGTACCTATTATGAGTAAGCCTTTGATTTCAGAAGCCAGAGAGTTAAACAGTTTTTTACTCTTACAATTTCACTCTCTTGAATATTGCCTACAATTTTCATACAACTTTATGTAAAGACTATAAAAGTACCTACTCAAAGGTACCATAAGATCTACGTATTTCTAAACATTTTTTTTATGTTAAATATTGACATAAAATGTTTTTACAATAGGTAAACATAGAATTGGATGTACTGTATGTCTTCCTGCACCTTTTTGTACATTTGAACCTTAACTGTGAACATATGATAGAGTAGATATATGAAAGCTGTTACAATAGCGATTGATTTTTGACCAGCGACTTCTGTCACGGACAAGAGAGATTCAGTCATCATCAGACCCAATCAGCTGATTGTCAGTCTCCCTACGGAAATATTCCCGATTCTTGTATTGTTCATATATAAACCTATAGTATTCATGCAAATTAACCCTTTCTAGCAACGATATATCGTCTTTTTCCGGAAAAGTGCTATGGAACGATGTATTGTTGTTAGCGTTTCATCCGAAAAGCGCAAAGCGACAATATATTGTGCCAGCGTGACTTTCGATCTTGTGAGTTTAAATGAGCATATCGGTTGACTTGGTTGTAGTTTCGAAACAGCGATGGTTTCTTTCGATTCCTCTTATGATCGAGGCCCGATAGCACTTTTTAGATGAGAAATTTTATTCTTACCGATTTTTTTTCTTGCACACTACACTTTGCCCCGGTGGCAATCCTAGCACTTTTCGGACGAAATAAGTAAATAACTCTAGCATTTTTGGAAAATTACAAAGAAATATTCTAGCATCAAAAGGGTTAGTTAATTAATTATCAATTATCAATAATTCATTGAGATGGAAACGCCACCTAGGTGCTTATTTTAATCCATATGTAAGCGAAGGATGGGTGTAGGATGGTGTGAGATGATCTGTATAGCTTTGCTACGGTCTAAGATCAGCTGTTTCATCAGTCAGTATCATTATTAAAGTAAAGCCCAAATGATCAGGATCAGCTGGGTCAAGTTTCGAACCATCAAAAAGCTCCTGACTTTTCTCAGGATCAAATACTTCCCTTGTAGAATAGTAGTCTTTTGGGAATGCCCTGATGATTGAACTCTATCATAGCCTAAACATTGGTCTGTATAGTTGTTCATATAATTTTTATGCTTTATTGTGGCATAAGGGTGTTTTCTTTGCCATCCTACACCAAGAGGTGTTTTGTATCAATATAAGTACCTTTAAGAAAAATCACTCAAGTCTTTGTGGATATGAAAGGGATTGAACCTACCACTCTCAAACCAAGTCCCAGATGCTAACCAATATGATAGCAACATACTTTGTTGTTTGCTATACAAGTTGTTGATGAATCAAAAACATATATTACAACAGAGTTACAAATTACAAAACACTTTTTTTTATCATTATATGAAAACTCCTAGTAGATCTTTCGACTTTCTAACCGCTGTTTGATCTGCGCAGTACAACCGCACCAGCCAAGGTTGTCAATGTAACCAAGCTATCATGCTGGTGACTGACGGACCTTCCAACGGCTTTCAAGACGTGTTCAAACAGTACAACTGGCCGCACATGCCAGTGCGGGTCTTCACCTACCTCGTTGGCTCCGACGCCTCCAACGCCAAGGAGATGCATTGGATAGCTTGCAACAACAAAGGTGAAATTTGTTTGTTTGTTAGAAAGTAAAAATAGTTATTTATTTATTTTTTTTTTGTTTGAATCATGGTTAAATACCCAGTATTGTTTGAGTTTTTTTTTAATAAATCAATATATATATTTTTAATTTTAACTAACCTCTTGCTATGCTTGGTATGTTATGCACATGCCTGAGGCGTATATGATGTGTTCAATCTTAAAAAAAGCTACCAATATCTAACAAAATATTGTCAACGAACCTTTTGCTAAGCAAAGAGACAATTTAAATGTCCAGTTCGATCAGAACTATTCTGGTTAAGTTGTGTCAAGGAGTGCTTTAACTTTGATGGTAATAATATAATATTATTTACCATGTTTTAGCTTTCTTTGTTGTTTATTATTTATTTACTCGCCACATTTTCCAATATCACTTACAAACTACAGTTTCTTTAAGAATATGTTTTTGCCATATATTAATTAAATGTAATTTTACTCTACAGGTTATTATGAACACGTCAAAGCGCCAGGAGAAGTTATAGAAAAAGTATTGAACTACGTAAAGGTGCTGGCTCGACCCATGATTATGTACCAGAGTGACCATCCAGTATATTGGACCCCAGTCTACGCTGGTGGAAAGGTAAAAGATCTAGCTTAGAATAAACCTGATATTTATTTGGAGAATGCTGGGTAGCCTATTTTGATTTTTGGAAATTCAAAAATATGGTTCCGGCTGTAAATTCACACTGGAAGAACTGAATGTTCTGACTGATGTAGGACCTACTGGTATTGTCTAAAAAATGTTTTTCATAGTTTTAATCTATGACTTTTTAGAACAATATGCTTTACTTAAGATCATTTTTACGTGATTTAATAATTATTTAAAAAAATATTTTTTCAGAGCAACACCCTTCTAACGAGCTTAATAAAAGAGGGAGAATTAATGACAACAGTTTCAACACCTATTTTTGACAGGAGAAATCATTCGGTGAGTATACAAGTATTGATAAAAGTTATAGTCGTGTCTATAGCACAATAAGAGTTGATAATATTTTATGTATGCAAGCTTAACTGTACTTACAGTACTAATAATTTTGCCCTGCTTTAAGGGAGACACATATTTTAGTCTACAACTACAAACTAATAATACCCCTGCCTCGTCACTGTATTTTACTAACAAAGACCTTTAATTTGATGTACATATCAACATGCTCTTACATTTAAGACTTTCTTCTGACTCCGAGTGGAGCATCATCCTAAGGAGGTAGTGATTTTTAAATAATGTTTTAGAATGGCTTTTATGACCAGTAACTTTGTTCCAAGTTTGGTAGCTCGTTTTAGCGAATTTCCCTATAGGGAAGTAGCTATTACCGTAGGTGGCACGGTAAGACGTAGACCCGGGACCGATTTACTTTTTCATTTTGATGTCCCCAGAGGCCAAAAACACCATTCGTTCAAATTTTTATATATGTATATATATATATATATATATATACGTCCGTGAACGCGATAACTTGAGTAATTTTTGTCCGATTTTGATGAAATTTGGTTTAAAGGTGTAAAGCGGGATAAACTTGAATGAGTTCGCGAACCAGCACGATCGGACCATGGGAACGGGGCTTTACGGGGGGTTTTATGGGGTAAAAATTGGTTTTTCTCACTTTTGACCCTCAAAACACAAAATTTCCCGATTTCTTTTTAGACCTTTTTAAAGAGCTTAAAAAAACAAATAATTTAGTATATTAAAGTATTTCTGTTCGATTATTAGTAACGGAGAAAATAAAAAAAATTTTAAATTTAAAATTCCCATGTTATTCTTATGGAGAATATTGTCAAATGTTGTAGTTTGCTTGTTTATGGATATATTTTGATCAAACTTGGCAAATTTATTTATTTTGTACTAAGCTATCAATATTTTACTCAAAAACACTTTATTAGTTTCCTTGTAGCAGCAAACCTAGGTACTCGTTAAACCTAATGTCATTAAAATATATTTAACTGAAAATCCAATTCAGACAAATGGAAATTCGCTTAGTCGGCAGGTTTGCTGCGGCGGGGGTATTTTTCTTAATCGTAGCTGTACAAGGGTTTACTTCAGTACAAGGATGAACTGTTCTGACTGATAAAAAGTTGTGGTAGTGACCAGGTTATGAACCCACAACATTGCTGCCTTGGGTCTGAAGTCCGTGGCGCTACCGAGTAACTGACTCAGCTTTAATTTTGTTACCTAAAAGAATTTAAATTTAGCTACCCATAACTATATATTTGGTTTACTTCACTATGAAGTGATACTAAAATTTACTTTTTTGTGTTTAGGAAAGGGCAGCAAACCTGTTAGGCGTTGTTGGGACTGATATTCCTATCAGACAACTAGCAAAGCTAGTGCCTCCATATAAGGTGAGTTTCGTATATTATTATCTACGAAAAACATTATATATGTCCACTAACATACACAAATATCATGTATTCATTTCCAGCTAAAACAGACAACACATAAGTTATAATCCAGCCGATTAGTTTTAACAAAATCAAAGAAGTTTAGAAAGTACTGTAGAACCATTAGAACTGAAACTATTGCAGTCACAAAATGAACAATGTCTGCATTGCCAACCTTTTTAGGTTGTGTTTATTTATAGTTATTGATTTATTTATTCCTAATTTAATTCCCTTTTTCTTCTAAAACGAGGAAAGTATTATAAACACAAGGTATAGAGGTAAGTATAAACACAACAAAGTTACAAAAATCCATTTTGTTGATAAACGGGCAAAGACAGCACAGTATAAGGAAAAGTAGAACGTGTGAAATACCTAATCAAAGATACAGCTGATAAGGCTGACTGTTCCCGCCAACTTTCTTACAGAGCTGTCCACCATATTTTGGTGGGTCTCGCCATCAAGCTTTGTCCTAGGACTCCCCATAAGTTTTAAACCCGACCTGATTGGAAAACTATTCAAACCCTCTATCTGGGGCTGTCTCCTGGCCAGAATATACGCCTTAGATCGCTCGGCCATCAATAATATCAAACAGTGTGTCTTACATAGTTATTTGCAAGACGATGTTTGTTTCTCACTCTCGATGGATGATGATTTATAGCTTGGATGTTTAAGAGTTTAAAATTGTTTAAACTTGTCAGCACGCTTTTAAAAATGTTCCATTTGAATTCTACAGAAATATTACCTAACAAACTGTTGAATTTCAGTTAGGAATCAACGGGTACTCGTTCATTGTAAACAACAACGGACATGTTCTATACCATCCAGACCTTCGTCCTTTGGTAAGTCTAGTCAATAGTTTACTCGTAGTGTATTGTTGGTCAATAGTTTACTCAGTATGTTTATAACACAATATCATTGACTATATTAGTTAACTAACTCACTTTTTCATTCTTGAACGTCTTTAGCATTGTTCTCTAAATTTGTGTTATTTCCCATTATTTTATTACCATTATTTAGTTATTACTGCTTTTGTATTTAAAAAAATGTAATCAAGCTTACACAAAAATATTAATTTGCAATGTTTATGCACTGCACTGTTTCTAAAAATTAACGGTTGTTTTGTTTTATTTCTTTTAGTTGAACAAGGATTTGGTGAGTACTGTAATAACTATACAGATTATTTAGTTATTGAACTAAAGCCCTCTCATTTTTAGATAGTTATTTTATTTGTTAATGTGAAGCAATATATACGTGCTTCATAAGGAAAACTTAGAGCTGAACAAACCTATTTCCTTTTAAGGATTTAATCCCTGGTAAAATAAAACATGTTTGATCGATTTTGGATTATAAGATAAAGGATTCTACTGCAATAGTACACATCCCACTTCTGAATAGTCTATTTTGTCAACACAGGGGCCTTGCGGGAAATATATTTAATAAATAATACAATGCACACACTGTGTATTTTATTGGAAATAAGTCTAATTAATCTTATAATAAAGTTTAGAACACACTGCTTTTTGTTACAGTTTGTTGAGACACTGAAGCCAAATTACAACAACGTAGACCTCAGCAATGTAGAGCTGGTCGATTCAGAAACTGTCGGCTACGAGAACAACACCCAATTAATGTTTGTGAGTGTCGGACGTATTTTAAGATAGCATTAGATATTTTAAATGTACTTTGTAAAAAGACTGAAAAGGAAAAATATTAAAAATTACTCTACTCGTCATTAGGATATCTCAGTGAATAGTTTTACAAATGTGTAGGCACCTTTGCGTGAAAATTGACAAAATCAACACAAGTAATTCGCCATTAGGTAAATATTCGGCACTTGGCAAATGCTGCATATTCAAGCCTGCCTTATGGCTATCGTTCCATTCAACAATTATCCTTCACCGAATTCGCTCATTAAACACTATGTTGTGTTATTCTCATAAAAATCTTATCTTTAGAACAGATCAAGTTATTGAGTGATTTAGTTACCATAAAAGTGTAATTGTTTTCAGCTCCGTAACGATATGATTGACCAGAAGGAGGGGGAGTCGGAGTTGAAAGTTAAAGTTCACTACGACGATATGGTAAGTTCCATGCTGACAGTGTCAAATTGTATTGATCGTACTTACTCATTACAACTCAAAGTGAAGAAAATATTGAAAACTAACAATAATTGGAAAAATACTTTAAACAATTATTTTGTTATTTAAAATAAAGTGATGTGTGTATTTCACTATAGTTGTGTTGTTGAAGTTATTTCACAATAAGTCTTAAAAATAATGTGACTATAGTATACAAATGTTTTTACAAAAGTAACCATTCTGTCAAACAAAAAACGGAGCGAACCAAACAAAGCAAATTTAAATTAGTTCTAAAAAAAATCAAACAAAGAAATCCAAACAAAGTATAAATTAACTACCTAAGATCTAGAATTAACTAACCAAAACTGGACAAATACATCTAGACAAAAAAACACATTCGTAAAAAATACCACACAGTTAGCAGACCCTTTACCAAAGATGCCCATCAATTTTATTCATACACAATTGTAAACCAAACATGATAAAAGTATAAAACTAAACCATCAAATGGAACAAATTATTATTACATTCATAATAAATGTGGCATTCTGGTTTTCCAGAGAAGAGTCACGATAAGGAGACAAAAGTATTTCTACCATCCGATTGACGACACTCCCTTCTCCCTGGGCCTTGCGCTACCCGATGGTTACGGGATGTACGAGGTTTTGGCCGAGGAGGAGATCAAGTTGAGTCAGATAAACGGTGAGTAAATCACGAGGAAAACATTACAAGCCTAGGCTAGACAGGAGACTCAAACATATCCTGGATTTTTGGTGCATATCGCCCTGGGTTGCAAACAGCTGCCCCCTCCCCCCACCCACTCCCCACAACCCAAGATTCTGGAAAACTTTAAAAATTAAAATAGCACAAGCTATTTAACGCTATTTGGACTGATTTGGATGTTTGAAATAATATTTATTAAAATTTGTGTGTTTTCATGTTTTTTTTTACCCCTAAACAATTTGGCACTTTTTATTTTATAAGCCCAGTTAGTCTGTTAGTCCGTATACAAAATGGAACCTGGTTGACAGTTGCCTGTGTTCTTGTTTGTAGACTATGACACACAATCCAATAGAGGTGACTGTCAAGATAAATATTGATTGATGTTCTGTTCTTGAAACTGAGTCCTCAAACAATTTAATTATTCATATTGCACTTATAGACTTATAAGTGTTTCACTAGAAAGACACACAGCTTTTAAAAACCACTTAAAAATTTGTTCACCACTTTAAAATATAATTTGCAAGTTTAATGTATCAAAATATTTAAATTACATTTCTTAAACGTAATGGTCCCAAAGCTTGTATGAGAATGTTACCTCCGAGCTTCTTTCACCCCTTGCGCACATTTATACGCCCAATCTCTTTCCTCAATTTACGTCCGTCTACTGGCGGTGGTCTTCAATAGCAATTGACGATTGAGACCACAAAAATCAAATTACAAAACACAAATCGGTGGGGACGCAACTTTACGGGTTGTCAATTTTCTTTTACGACATTTGTTTTGTATGACCAAACTAAAAACTAATCTTTCCATAGGGGTGGGGACCAGCTAGAATAGTACCGTTAGTGAATGTATTTAGGATCATGATGTTGATCTCGAATTTAAATTAGCTTGCTTCATTGCGACGGGTAGCTTGACGGGGACCTAAATTTATGTAAAGTCCTCGTATTTAATATACTTTCATTGAAGTTTAAACTGAAATAAAAGCTTTTAATGGTTAATTAGGAAGACTAACTGTTTGACAATGTTATCAAATCAAATCATGTTATTAATTTTCAATGTTATACTGCTTAAGAAAATAAATCTTAATTACAAGTTATTGTAATAACAATAACTATATTTTTTGTTTTTTAGTTACCGAGTATTTCAAGGGAAACAACTGGAGAGTCCATCCTGATTGGTAAGTAAAAGAGTTTTAAATTTTTAACAGTTTGACATTGTACGGTAACTTCATAGACATGGTTGAAATAAGTAATTTATATACATATATAACAGTTTAACACTATATAATGAAAATATTGCGCAGAGAAGGGTAATATTTTTGTGTAGAGGTATCTGAAAATAAAGTGGTGTCTTCAAGTGTTTCCATCATTCATAAACCAATCGAACAATTTAGCTGAGATTTTACAAAGATTTAATTTTATTAATTAAAAATCTTTGTAAAGATTGTGGAGATAAATAAGTATAATATTACGTTTATGAAAGAGGATTTTGCCTTTCAGATGGTTAAAAATACATTTTAAAGTGTTATATATTACAATTTAAGAGCCCTCTACCTTAACACCTGTTACAAGATAGGTACTATTTTACCCCCCTCCCATAAAAAATGCCTGATAAGGTTTTACATGTTTTAGGGTGTATTGTGAGTACAACTACCCCAACGAGCATTACTTCACCACCCCAGAGGAGCAAGTGATACACTTTCTGTCACGTACACGAAGACCGGGCTGGAAGTGGATGTCCCTCCGCCCGCGGTCGCCTCACAGGAATAACGACGGTCAGTTACAACCAGTCCACATAGTAGCATGACTATTGGATACTAAAGCCAATTTTTCAATCAAATAGAACATAGTTAAATGAGATGCTCCGAATGTGTTTCTATAAAAAATATATTCTCTCTTTAATTTTGTTTTTTACTTTCATACATTATAAATGATTATATATAAGGATATTTTAGTTTACAGTTTTTTTTCCTTTCAATTTGGCTTAGTTGAAATGTTGGTGAATAAGATCAACACATTCTGTGTGACTCAATTCAATTTCATTAATTTGTTTCTCGAAAACTGGCAACACCTTTATAGGAATGAGTTGAATTTTACTTTCCATAGTTAAAGTTGTAGACTGTTTCCAAAGTTCTTTAAAGTTTCACGAAAAAGACTTTAACCACTACTCTTTATACTTTTGGTATTGCCAGAATGTTAATTAATAAATAAATCCTTGATTGTTGCTCATTGAACCATTACTAATTGTTGCGTTTGTATTATTCATCTACAATATTGTTACTCCAGTTTTAAGGTACCTGAAAAAGTTTTTTTACTGCTCATCGTCAAAACTTGATGGGATCAAGAGTTTTTCCTTCCTAAAAAACAATTAACAAACAAACAAAAGAACAAGTATTACAGTTAAAAGTAATGTCTAACACTTTGACAATTGGCAGTGATTATAAAAGAAAAAATAGTAGGTAGTGGTAAACAACAATGTTAAGATTGAATTTTAAAAGGATCAAATCCTACTCAGAAGAAAGATATTTTACCACAATTCTTGATCCTTATTTATTTATAAATATATTCCACATTTACCACAGTCTTACAAATTTATATTTTTAAATAAATCTTACTAACACATATTGTTTTATCCTTTTCTACAGGTCATGCAGGAGCCAAAAGGATGGAAAGGGATTCCTACTATTGTGAGTAAATAAAAAATGCTGTTTTTAAACTCATAAGTACCAATGAATACAAACCCTTTAAGAAGCGAAATGCTTATGGAAAATAGACAGACTGGTATTTTGCTGTCGAAATGAGCTTCGTTCGGCCGCTGTTACAATCACTCGCACGGCGGCCTTGATAGTCTACATTGCGGCCGCCGCGGGAAATGTCGAAAATTCAATTACTTTCAGACTAAATTTTTCACAATTGCATTGCACTTGTTAATGGGTTTGTATTCATTGTAAGTACCCTAATTTAGAGGTAATCCTCAATACTTTTAGTGTTTTAAAAGTAAAATAATATTATCGTTTTTCATCGTTCAAAACTGTTGATATTCAAAACAACAAAATATATTATATGAAATTATTTTAATGAATGACTACAGAACCCACATCAAAACATTGCTGTACAAACAGGTGTTTGTTTATCTAGTTAAAAGCAGTGTGTGGTGTTACTTATTTTTCAATACTCTGTTAGAACATAATAAATACAGTTTTTTCATTAGAAAGTACACACATCTGTTTAAACTGCTTCTGCCTTTTTACCCATGACGGATACAAGTGGAAACTCAACAACGTTCACTGGTGATTTCACCCAACCCATTTGTTAACCCAAAATTTTACTTGAAAATCATTCCGAACACGTTCTTGGCTAACCACTAATTACGTTTACAGGTGACAAAACCCTGATGCAGTCTTTGGTGTTTGACGCGATGATTACGCACGACATCCAACGAGCGCCAACCTCTACACTTAAGGAAGACAAGCAGTAAGTATCTCGATGGTGATGGCGGAATGTTTAGATGTCTAGGATAGAAACACAAAAGCACCGCTAAATCACTTTTCAATAAATATTTCAAACTGTTCTGTGTCTAACTGAAGAGAGATTTGAGATTTTTACTGTGATGAATGTCTAGGGTAGTAAATCACAATAAAAGCAACGCTACAAATTTTTTTGAAACTTTAAGATCCTTCAGTACTTAGTGTTTGAATTTGACTAAAGAGGTGGCTAAAGATGGGGCCCAAAAATTTAAGGGACCACTGATATCAAGTTTTTTTTTTTTTTAATTATTGATTTAATAAAAAATCTACGAAATTTGTATAAAATTGAAAATAAATTATACCCACTACTATAAAATTCTTATATGTTTAAATATTTTTTCCAAAATACTTTATGAAGCTTCTTTATGAAGTGGTAGTTGAGTGAATTTCCTTTATCAATTTGTCAAATTTAACTCCTCATATATACAAGATGTAAATTATTTCTTCACCTTTGCAGTCTGAATGATTTTTTGTCTGTTTCAACTCAACATGGCAAATTATTCAACTAATGAAAAATTGAGAAAACAAAAGCAAAGAGCTAAATGACCCAGTGATCAAATTTATTTAATTTTTATTCAGTTTGTTTCAAAAATTATTATGTAAAATTAAAATATGAAATTTTGCACTGATTACTACCGGAACTGGAAACTTTTTTAGGAAATGTTAATTTAGTAATATTTATTAGTTAAATTTGGTCACTGTGTTGTAAATACATTTTGTGATTTTGTGATGTAGAATGATTAAGCCTAACCTTTTTATATATTAGGTTTCTACTCTCTATAAATTTATTAAACAACAACCACAGGTAGTTATCGGAATATGTGCATTTTAAAACTGAAATTTATTTAAAATTGTTCCTAATAATACTTGCCTGACAATGACAATCCATAGTTTGCTAGTTTGTTCCTGAGAAAAGTTAATAGTTTTGATGATTTGAGACTGAGCCCAGTTTTCTCAATCCATTAATTTATTGTTAGTCAATTAATTGTGTTTAGTCTTATTAGAAGCTCAAATGGCCCAGTTTAGTCTTATTAGAAGCTCAAAAAGCCCAGCTTAGTCTTATTAGAAGCTCAAATGGCCCAGTTTAGTCTTATTAGAAGCTCAAAAAGCCCAGCTTAGTCTTATTAGAAGCTCAAATGGCCCAGTTTAGTCTTATTAGAAGCTCAAATGCCCCAGTTTAGTCTTATTAGAAGCTCAAATGGCCCAGTTTCAAATCATCTAAACCGGCTGACCTTTATCAGGATAAAACTATCAACTTTCACAAGCACTTGTGTGTTAGTATGTTTTATCATAAAAAATAAAAAAACATATCAGTATAAACTATAGTGGTACAATGACATTATTAGCTTTTGCTTTTTTTATCCAAACTAACCACTGTTAATTACTTTGTATTTATTTTTACATTTCAAAGTAAATGTTCTTTATAAACACTACTATTTCACACAATAGTGTGTAATTTGTTGGATTTTGTTTTTTTAAAAATACCCCTTTACTTACATCTCATTTAGCTTATAAGGAATATTTTTTTAACATATTTATTTGCTGAACGAGGATGGTAAGTGGTCGTATAAAAAAGTCTCCATTTTGCTAAAAACTTTTTTTCTATGTGAATTTTATAATCTGTCTTATGAGTTGAAAAAAATATAGCTAACATTAATAAACTCTTCATATATTTATTTCTCTTTAGGGCTAATAAGCTAACTATATTAGCTTATTCCCTAGGTACATGGAAAATTCACTAAATGTATTTTTAAACTAGCAGTGGATTTTTAATTGCATCACTTGAATCCACTGCAGAAAAGTTGAAGATTGTAATGTATTTTATAACCACTCCAATGTCAGAATTATAGGCTATGGGGAACCCATTATACCCATTTACTTGGTCGCTTTACTAATTAAAACAGCAAAATAAATAAATATACTTCGTACAAATGTTCTTAACTGAATTTGAATGTTGTGTGGCTAAGCTAGACAAAACGTCTGTTACTCTCTGGACAGCTCTCATATTTACATGAAATATATTTGATACACTTATACATTTTAAACATATTTTAAATTATAATAATTTAAAGTTGTGTTTTTGTCAGTGTAGAATGCAGGAACTAAGATGTTTATTTAAGAAATATAAATCGCAACAGATGAATGACTTGTTAACTTTACACCATACTGTTCAAAACACCCCATTGTGTGTATATAATATGTTAATGCTGTAGTGTAATCAACAGAATATAGAATATAAATAAATAAATGTAATGATTACAAATTGTGTCTGCTATAATACTGTAGCTTATCGGACAACTTTTAAACAACAAGTGTAACGATCCCTTTTGTTTGTTCCCTAACGAAAAATCTTTCAGAAAGTAAAGATTCATTTTCAAATCTAAATTTGCTAAACGTAGCTGTTCCTGATTTTGTTTTAAAAAATAAAATAACTACTCTTTAGTGTCATAGTGTATTTCTATAGCTTTGATTTCAAACATGATTTATTTGACATATTTCACTAACCACGCATATTGGGAAGAAATATGTTTTATGTATAAGATAGTGGAGTCTAACAAGAAATTAAGTTACGCAATTTTCGATTATGGACAATAATTGCACATTTTTTATTTGAAATTATTTTAATAAATAAAATATATTTGTAAAATTGTTTGATCTTATTTATTTTATGTCTTTTTCAGCTTTACTAATCATTTCAAATGCACTAACCAACTGGCTTTGCATGAAGCATGAAATGTATAACCAAACTAAGCTATTTGTTGAAATAATAAATATAATAGCTCAAAATAGTAAATTTAATTATTGTTTGGCAATCTTATTATACGTCATTACTTGTCACCAACTATAGCAATACCAACCATTTTTTTAAACATTTTTTTAAAGCTTTATGCCAAAAGTTGATGAATTAGTTTAAAAAAAAAGTGTGTGAGTACCCAACTTTGCCTCGCTAACATTTTTTTCTTGTAACAAAATGGTCTTCTAACTTTGCAAGTTAAACCTGGATGTTAACATTTGTTGATTGTACAACATCCATACTATTTCATATGAATTCAATACAAACACAACAAATAGCTTGGTTGACAAAGCACTGATCACTGTTTGACAAAAGCACTAACGTTTTCCGTTGTTATGAAGCCCGATCGCCACATTGATGGCTTTACTGCACAGGTAAAGTAACCTCGACGGCCGTCGATAAAACGTAACCGAATCATAACTTTGTTGAATTCTAGCAATTTATAGTAGAGTTTATCTTGAATACTGATGTTTGCCCCTGTAAGAATTGATTTGTTGCCTAGAGCTCAAAGAGCAAAATTATTCAGTAGATGGTATTCCTTTGAATAAATTACTAGAGTATCCTTTGAAGCTAGTAACTTAGCAAACTGGTTTAATATAGCATATAATTGCAAAAAAACTAAAACTGTTGTTTTTATGAAGTCCTTATTTAACCGTTTTGTGTTGATAAAATTTAAAGTTGAAACTTGTTTTTAGTGTAATATTAAAGCAAAATATTATGATTTAGTTTAACAAGATTCTCGATAAAAGAATGTTAAATAATTAAGAATCGTTTCTATTCCAGTTAAAAATATTTTACATTTCTTCAAAACTATCAATAAAAAAATAGCAACAAATAATTAAAACCCATGGTAATTAAAAAAAAATCTATGTAAAAAAATGCTTGAAAATTAAAATAAGAAAATTTAATTGAAAATTTATTCTTAACAATACAGATATTTTACAAGCAAAGGGAGTTCCAAAATATACAAAACTGCGTATTAAGAGAATTTAGTATAGGTATATAATGTCTTATTTACAAACTATTTGAAATAAAAAAGACCGTTGAGCTCATATTTTTGGTCAAAATGTGTTAAGAATATTAAATACATTAAGTCTAATTTACTTTGCCAATCATATACAGGGTGTCCCGTAACTCTCTGGACACTTGTATATAGCGTTATTGCTTAGGTCAAGACAAACACATTCACCATAGGAACATGGGTCTGTGTTGTCTAGTTTACCGACTGTCGGCATTTATGTGTTTTTTACAAAAAAACTAATAACTCCTAAACGGTTTGAGATACAGCTTTGATATTTTGCAAAAATTTTAATCTTATTAAGACCTATTATCGTTGGAAATTATACAAAAAATCATTAACCGTTTCAAAATGGTGGCCATTTAAAATGTTTTATGCAAAATTTCACGAAAACTGTTAACTTTACAAAATAGTCGCAAGAGACAAAAAAGTTTGTAAATTTTATGTAGTTTTCAATGATAACTTATTTGTTAAGATTGGATAAGTAATAACAGAGAAACGTGTTGTTTTCGTAATGTATGAACACTTTTCTCCATTTAAATAATGCTAAAATCGTAAAAGGAGTATTAGCATTGTTTAAATTGAGAAAAGTGGTCATAACATTACCAAAACAACACGTTTCTCTGTTATTATTTATCCAATCTTAACAAATAAGGTATTATTGAAAACTACATAAAATTTACAAACTTTTTTGTCTCTTGCAGTTATTTTGTAAAGTTAACGGTTTTCGTGAAATTTGGCATCAAATATTTTAAATGGCCACCATTTTGAAACGGTTAATGATTTTTTAGTATAATTTCTAACGATAATAGGTCTTAATAAGATTAACACTTTTGCAAAATATCAAAGCTGTATCTCAAACCGTTTAGGAGTTATTAGTTTTTTCGTAACAAATACATAAATACCGACAGTCGGTAAACTAGACACCACAGACCCATGTTCCTAGGGTGAAATGTGTTTGTCTTGGCCTAAGGAATAACACTATATACAAGTGTCCAGAGAGTTACGGGACACCCTGTATAACAAATACAGTACCTAATACAATTCAAGGTATACATAAATTAAATAACTTGCCCAAATAAGTGAGTAGATAGCCATTATTTCGATAAAGTTTGTGTAATGTTTTTAAGAACAGTACTTGGAATGTTGTTACCCTGTAAATGGAATGTTATTAAGTAATATGTAACTTTTTAAGTGTGTCCAGAAATAAATAACAGAGTAACAAATAACTGTGTTTTATCCTTGATAGTTTGGATATTATTACCAATATCTTCATAGCCAAAATAACAATATATTCTTTCTTACCAAATAATTTAATATGGTGTAATTAGTGAAACTTAAATAGCCTACACCAAAATAAAAAATAAACTAATAAATTCATGGTTGTAAGAACAAATCAAAAACTTTCCTATTGGCTATTAGTCTATATAAAAAATGTGCGTTTCAGCTTTTTTAATCAGTTTTGCGAATGAGAATTTACCTCGAGAAAAACTACCTTCAAGATGATAAGTGGAAGATATTAGTTAATTAAGAACATGCATAGCTTAGTGTGACAGGGTCAAAAATGTGACTTGTATAAAATCAATACCTTGTTTAATTTATTTATTAATTAAGCTATATGTGGACAATTGGTAGTGCAGTATAACACTACTTTCTAAGGAATTTGTCAATATTTTACAGGATGCATTAAAACTCGGATCACAAAAGGAATCATGTAGTTGAAAAGTGTTGCTTTAAAAGTTTGACTTTAGACACAACATTCCTAGGATAAATTTGTTGCCGATACTTTTTACCTGAGTTACGGAAAACTTTTTTTACTGTAAAATCATGTTTGTTCTTTCTTATACACAAATTTGTATTAATGCCAAACCAAAAGGGCAACTATTAAACTACAACAAAATGTTATGTATTTTATTTATAAACCATCATGACTTTTATGTGAAACTAAAATAGTAAATATCAAGAACCTATCATTCTATGACAGGTTTATTCACTTATTGTCCTCCTTGAGTAAATAGTATATTTCATTACAAGAGTAGAAAGTGAGTCATTACATATTTGAGACCATGTTTGAAGTGCGAGATTTAAAAATGCTCGAGAATATATTGTATAGACTCACTTTCACTCGTGTTTTGAACGTTAATTTTCACTACACTACAAAGACTAATTTTTTTCTTGAACATTACAAAACTCATAGCATTTTTCTGATTATAACTTCAATTTAAAGTCAAATTTAAATTTACTTTGGTTATACAGTTTTGGTTGTTGAAAATTAAAACAGTTGACAATACAATAACAAATCTTTGTTTGTTTATGTTGCCAAAATCCAAAAAAAGATAGTAAACATTTTGCATAGTAAACATTCTTTTGCTGTAGTAAACAACGATAATGAATTTTCACAGGTGATAAACATGTAGTATAGCGAAAAATAATTTGTCACAACTAGCCCATAGGGTTGAGGTGCCTTTCTTCACTATCCAAAGTCAATATTTCAAAGCAACCTGCATTTTTAAGAATTGCATGGTTCTTTAAAGGTAATGGCATCTTTATTTTTTTAAGCTACAGTATTGCGTCTATAGCTAGTAACAAATATTGTCATCTTTAGCTAAATGACAAATATAACCATTCGTGTATTTTTCTGTTTCAGATCAAACAAATATATATATATATATTTTTTTTACTGGAGTTACTAATGATATTCTTACTCATGATATTTGCAGCTCTCACAATTTCTGTTTGGGAAATGTCAGGAATAATTTTATATTTGGTTTGTTACGATTGATTTTGAACTATTTTATACTTTAAAATGACTGTCTTAGGATTTATTAAATCGTTATGAAATGTTTTACCATTGAATTATTTTCAGCACCTACCTTTGGACGACGTTAATTTGAATTATACTCTGAATGTTTCCAGAACTACTAGATCAGTAGCTTGATGAAGTTTGTTTACAAGGTGATTTTTCACATTAAAACTGTAAAACTTTGTCTGCAGCTCTTGAAAACAGAATTACAGTTTTAACTTACGTACTACTCTAATTGATTGATTCTGTAGGGGCAGAACTTGTACTGTTGCATGTCAGCCACTGTTGGGCTTTTTACGCTCCCCACATGGTACATCAGAGCCCGTCAAACCTGAGTTGCTTAATGAACTTCATGTTCAGCATCCTGTCTATGAGCTCCTCCTGAGGAAGGTGTCTGCCCCTTGTCATTTACTACTTTATCCACATGCGAAGGACGGGCCCGCAGCTAGTATAAGTTAACAATGTGTTTGAAAAATATGCATATAGGTATTTTAAATGATTTGATTGTTTTAGAATGTTTGTACTTGGCAAATATCTATTCACCAGAAGATGCAAGAGCTACGAGTAGTAAGAGTTATTGAATGGCTTGTAGTTGAAACCATTGTTGATTTTCAGGCTTTGAAGCAAAAAATACAGCACAGATGTTTTTTGTTCCAACAACAAGACCAGCTACGCCCCAAATTCATGTAGAGGTTTTATTTCAATTTATGCCTGGTTGATGATTTTTTTTATTTCAGCCATCCAAGTTTGTGTCTAAAACTTTACTATTTTGCTAACATGAATGAGGGTGATATAATTTGTTTTTTATTATTATTTTCTCTATTAATATTAAAACCTTATGGGTTAGTAGTTTGTAGTAATCTTATACACTTAAATACCGGTATTTCCATACTTTTTAATTGGCCCTGTCACACCATGATAGCTAGTGAAATATCTTTAACATTTTTCTTTTGATCTGACAGCCACTCGAGGATCGTAAAATAAGTGATGAAAAGCAGCTTCCATTCATTGAACAAAGGTTGTCTCTGGTTTCAGACAAGGCTATACCATGTTTGGAGTGACTTTGTCCTTCATCGCTACTAGAAGTGGTCTTCTAAGATGGGAGGAACATATGACTAACGGGCAGAGCGATCCGTAAGTCAGACCTAGGAGGAGTCAGGAAATTCAATCTTTAGATTAGGGTTAGCTTTAATGGGCTTGACATTCTGGCTAATTTAGAGTGCATTTTTTAGGGAAATAAGGCCCTGGGTCCATCTCGCCATCTCACAAAGAATATTTTTACCAAGATGCGTTTGGCAACTCTTCTAGCACACACAACATGAGTGTGCTCAAAATAGTGAAACCTCAAAATTCCTTTTGATGAGATTGTCAATTTGGACTGTGAGGTTCTGTTATTTAACTTTATTGCAGTGAATTCAAATTACTTTATGAGCCAAATATATATTCTTAATCGTTGGATGACAACCTGAATGGAATATTTGGATTACTCTGTAAATATCTCAAAACAATTCTTACATTCAAATAATTGTCAAATTTAACTGTTGTCTCCATGTTGTTCCCCCAGGACAATTTTCTGGACCTTTAAATACAAGACTAGTTAACCGCCCGTGCTCCGCCACGGGAATATTGTCAGTAGTAATAAAAGAAATAATAATTAACAAATACTGTTTATCTTTGTATTTTATTTAGGGGTTGTTTAATTTTTTACATGAAATAGAACTGATAGTTTGCCTGTATAAACTATTTTATGTTAATCAAACCGATATATTATTTTAACCAAATGAATGTTTTATATTAGTTTGAGTTTCATTTGAAAAATAAATAGTAGGTATACGAACTGGGCAATGCTGATAACCTAATAAGCAGCTATTTATGCTATTTAGATAATTTGCTCAAGTATATTCCTATATTCGTAGTTTTTTTCCATTACATTTGTTGTATGGAATAAAGATAGTCACTTAGCCTACATGTAAATCACGCATCAGCAGTTGGTCGCATTTCACGAATCTTAGACCCATACTGTGAGTAAAAGCTGTGTTTACGTCGTATATATAAAGTTGGGCATACTTTGTTCAATGTTAGAGGGTATTAACGGTCCAATTTGATGGAAAAGGAGTCGTGGATATTAAAACTATGTAGACTACCACTACCAGAAAGATGTTGATTCAAGTGATACTTAGAACTGACATTTAACACCATCACTGCTCTTTACCTTTTTAGTTCGATGGTTCTCTACATGTTTTTTTCGTTCTGTAAGTCTCTTTACGCCCGGTTAATGATTACCTTTCTTTTTCTTTTTGTACTTTTCACATCCTGGGGTTACCTAATGATTAAGTTTTATAACGCTATAATGATCCGAGTCAACATTGCCATTTAACATCAAGTCAGATACTTCTTCGCCAGAACAGAAATCGTAAGTCACAGTTTCTCAAGCAACTTCCCTGTTTAGGCCTACTCGAAAAAATATAGTTCGGGTATAGTTCGCTGATAAATTGTAGTTCCAAATATCCCAGCGTACTCGCCATCTCGAGAAGGTAAAATTTGGACGTCGAACGAAGGTAAAATGTTTGTATGTTTACCAATCATTAGCAATTATCTGTACAACTTGCAAGCGGATTTCCCTATGATTGTTCTGGTGGCTATAGAGAATAAATTATATTGATCAGAAGAATAAGTTTCCGTCCCCTACTATGGGTATTATTTCACATTCCATACTCAAACTTAAACTCAATTACCACTTTTCCTTCAGATCACTTTGCAGGAAAACTAAAACATTTTTGTGTCACAGTTAGACTGTTCTGACTCGAAATTCATAGATTTGAAGTAGTGACAAATCCAATCTAACGACCCCAATCCAAAAGAGTTGGTATTTTTTTGTAGGGACTTCCAGAGCACATTTAACACCAACACTGCTCTTTACCTTTTTAGTTTGATGGTTCTCTACATTTTTTTTCTTTTTCGTTCGGTATGTCTCTTTACGCCCGGTTAATGATTAGGTACCTTTTCTTTTTATTTTTGTACTTTTCACACCCTGGGGTTAATGATTAAGTTTTATAACGCTAAAGTGACCCGAGTCAACATTGCCATTAAACATCAAGTCACATACTTCTTCGCCAGAACCGAATGGTAAGTCACAGTTTTCAAGCAACTTCCCTGTGTACTTGAAAAAAAAAATTCACTGATATATTGTAGTTCCACGTATGGCGTACTCGCCATCTCGAGAAGGTAAAGTTTGGTACCACTGAACGTCTAACACTGATCTTGAGTAAGATTCGTCACCTACTATAAAATGTTTGTATGTTTCCCACTCATTAGCAATTATATGTACAACTTGCAAGCGGATTTCCCCATGATTATTCTGGTGGCCGTAGAGAATAAATGGGTATTATTTCACATTCCATACTCAAACTTAAACTCAATTACCACTTTCCTTCAGATCACTTTGCAGGAAAACTAAAACATTTCAAAATAAGTTAACAAATACACTTTCCTTGATCAAAATCGTGTGTTTATAGACAGAAACTCCAAGTTTAATAATTGCATACTGAAAGTGAGGTTATAAAAATAATAACAAATATCTGACAACCATTAAACAGCTGACAAATAATTTATAAACTGTGTATTATTTTCTTCAATAAGAATTGTATTGACTCGACCTTTAAAGGGCTGTAGGTCGTAGCCCTTAGAAAAAAACGTAAATTCTAAGGAAGTTCGGCAAATCTACACACTATCCCCTTTAATTTGAGACATAAATCTTGTAGATCGGTCAAGTAATTACTGAGAAAACAGTGTTACAACTGTGTATTAAATATATAGATTTACCAATCTTTAAAATTAGGTGTGAAAAATTTGTCTTCACAAAAACCAGAAACCTGTGTAAAAAGCAAAAGGCAATGGCACAACATATATATGTTTAAAACGCTTCGCTTTTAGAATTTATTCTTTAGTTTATTTCTTTTGATAACTTTAAACAATTCTGTTATTTTATTATAATCTTCTTTTACTTTATATTTGATGTGATGATTTGCAGTCTGTTCAGTGAAAACAACAGACATGCGATGGACGAAACTTGGTACAAACGTGCAGTGGATCAACACACCATTGAGCCTGAGAGCTTTGTGTTCTCTGTGCCGTTTGATTCAGGTTTGTAAATCAATTGTTACTGTACTAGTATTAGCATCAAAGATTTTACCATATTATACAGCCAGAGTGCTAGGTAGAGTGTAAAAAAAGATGTAGGATGGTTCTAGAGTTGCTTTTGTAAATGAAAAATCTTGGTCAAATACACCACTTGTACACATCATTGTATACACCACTTGTAAACACACAGATACGACAGCATGAGAACTTATTTCCAAAATTCTCAGCTCCAGCTGTTTAAGAACTATGTTGAAACTTTTAGAGAAAGTTTTGGGATCACTTACTTTTTCTTGGGAGATAGCAGAACAAGATGTCCATCAAACCAACATGTGGGATTTGAGTTGAGCTGAATATTTTCCAAAGAATCAAGAGTGGTAAAACTATGCTTAGACAATCTGAGAAATAGAATGATGAACTTTTTCCATTTGTTTTTAAAGTGGTGTCTTACTTCTGGTTTCCTAGTCATGTGGAGTGTAGGGAGCAAACTCTGATGATTGAAAGGATTTCCAGATGAAACTGATGAAACAGTGAATGAAAATTGCTCCACCAGTCAGAGTATTTCTCTATTTTGCTTTCTGTAACAGTACATTGGGCGATATTTTTGTTGCCAACACGCAAAACGAAATAGTTCTGTATTCTGTTAGCTACTGTAACCTAATACATTACATACCTGTAGCTTGGGTTTTGTTGGCCATCTTGAGCTCTGAGTTAGGTAGGCAAACTACACACTGTACTATGTGTCCAAAATAAATATTTAACTATGAAACCTTTTTCCAGGAAATACACCTGGCACTCAAGTGATGGCTACTCACGCTGTCTTCGTGGAACACAAAGGGCATCGAGCGCCCGCAGCCGTCGTCGGCCTCCAGTTCCAACATTCTGTTCTCGCATCACACTTCATCAACATCACTTCTGCGGTAAGGTCCCCTACGAAGTGATTTTGTATATTGTATTGTTTGGCTGAAAAAGATGTAACTGTATTTATCCGTTTCTTTTTTTTAACTAAACATATTAGATGCAACATAAATAATCATTTGTCATACTGTTGCATTTAGTTTAAACATAAACTCTGTGACTAATCCATATTAAAAATATTTCAACCCTGGACAAGTACATTTTCGCGTATTTCTGCCATCCATAAGACCTCCACACTCGTTGGATATTTTAGTAGACTACTAATTGTACCATGTACTTTGACTATGTTCTGGTTCACACCAATCAATTCTTTAATGATTCTACAACACAATTGGACATTTACAGTGCACCGGAAAAACCGGCTGCAAGAAGACGTGTGCATCCGAGGAATTGGATTGTTACGTTTTGGACAACAACGGGTTTATCATTCTCTCTGAGAAGTCAGAGCATACAGGAATGTTCTTCGGACAAGCAGATGGAACCATCATGGACTCACTGGTCCAAGACGGAATCTACAAGAAGGTTTGTAATTATTTACCTATTTTGTGATTACTTTCCTAATTTTAGGACAGTTCCTAAAAATTAAGTTTGCACTTCAAAGTTTTAGTTTGTAAAATTTCATTCATAACACGGCTCACAGATTGAACATAGATTGACAACTCTTGGAATTTCCTTAAAGAGACTTATTTTACTCTTTCTGTGTCAAAATATCATCTCACTCTTGTCTTCATTGCTTCTAGATTCCTGTCATGGATTATCAGGGGGCGTGTGTTGATAGCAAATCCAATGTCAACGCTGGATTCAAACTGCTGGTTCGTATTAATCTAAAATTTTACACCAAATATATTGCCAATTCAAGAGTAATTTTTGTTTAACAAAATGTCATTCTACAAACACCTTTTTTAAGTTAATTTTTATTGTTTGGAATTTTAAGCTGTAGTAAACTCTAAGCTCCTGGTAAATTGAAGTTTTGTCACCTTAATCCTTAATAATCAAGTACTGAATAAAACATTGTTTTTTTTTTTATTTAATCTTAATTTAACTGTCCATCACCATAGTATACATTGTGGTGTTCTTTTAAAGGTAGTGAGGTACCGCTCTATACTCTAAGTGACATAGGCAAATAAGTCTTGACCGCAGTAAAAATGTGGTTGGTTTCATCCAGTAATTGGCATATGAGCTCTAGGCACTGCCACTGTGCTACAATGTTTGGTACTTTAAGGCTACGGATGAATACTTTGATGAAATTGTGTTCTGACTACCTAATTCTGATGATTTCTTACATTCTCGTCTCAACAAACGCCTGTTATCCATTGAGTGTGTTTACAGTGACAGCGTCTTTGATGTCAGAACAGACATAATATCCTCAGTACCATTTGAGCGTTCAAAAAAGATTGATTTATTTTTGTGCGACCTGCAACTAACTGATTAGTGCCTGTTAGTGTGTTGAACTTCTAGTTATTAGCTTATTTCACTATGGATAAGGATACATCAACCAGTCTCCTATATGAGAACAGGTTTTTGGGATGTGTGAAAGTCAACAATTCACTACAGAGATATTGCATGGATAAAGTTAAAGAAGGTTGTAATGCAACAGAACCAAAATAAGTATTAAAAAACCATACCGTTGTACCACAAACCATTAATAACATTTCAAACTCTCTATTCATGTCTTTACCAACATAATATCTGGTTAACTTTACCCGCTCTGGATTTCCACCATACAACAACAATAACATAAATTACGAATCTCGCAAGAAAATATAGTTCATCGAGTTCCATTTTGCTGGGTGGCGTTGACATATACTGACTGTTAGAAAATCAGATAACGTTCACAGTGTAACTAACTGCCTTCTGACGAGGGTTTCAGACGTACTGCTCAAAACAAAATTACATCAGAATTTGCATCCATAGTAACTGTAGCCTTAGTTGATGATGCTAAATTCAAGTGCAACCAAGATAACACAAACAAATGTTAGCTAACATTTTTGTATTAAATCAAAGAAATTTCTTTTCTGAGTAATCTTTTTTTCCACAGCTTCCGTGGCAGACGATGGGCTGGTTGGTTCATTGGTTTTTCAGTCAGTTGGTTTGGTTCGCAGCACAAACTGTATATACCGACATTCACTGGACTTACGCCCAAGAAGACGTTGAAAGTAAGTATTCATTGACAATGTTAAGTGTTAAGGTGTTAAGGTGTGTTTGTCAACCTTTTATTCTAATTTCTAATGCGTTTAAGAAACTATGATATGTCTGTGTGAAGTGTTTGTGTTTGAATATGAAATATGGATCCAAAAGTTTCTAACTTAATTAACTTAACTTAACTTAGTCAGGTTTATGATGTTGCCCTAGCAACATCATAAACCTGTAAGATCTCATTTTTTTATTCTTAGTGAAAACTATTCTGGTAATACATTATAGGTAATATAGAATTCCTTATCATCTATCAACTAAACTTAAATACTAATTCTACAGCATATCAGGTAAAATTTCCAGTTGAAAAGATTATGGAATTTGATTTCAAATTCATCTTTGGGCAATGGAAACACCATTTTCAAGTATTCTAGTGATCAATATGCTGTTCTCACAAGTTCCTTAACACTACACTACTACATTACACCATCTAGATCCACCCAAATTACAGTTTAAACATATTATATTTTAGCTAACACTACCTCTAAATAATTTAAAACAATCATGCTCAAATTTGATTTGATTAGATTAACCTTTAGCTGCTTCTGATTGGTCAAAATGTCACCATGGTCTTTTTCAATCAGGAAAACTACCATTTGTCATGCATGTTGTTTGGGTGGATCGATATTGTTTGTGTAACAATTAAAACTGTATAAAAGATATATGCTCCAACATAATTTTTAATTTTTACTAGATCCAATCTACTCAGACGATTATGAGACAAGTTTTGACCAGTACGGAGGCAGCAGTAACGGCGGATCAGGTAAATTAACATTTAGAATTTGAAAAATACACCTTTTTGTTCACGAAAGGTTTAAGTTCACACTTTACATTGAGAATCTAAAAATTAATGTTATCAGACCCATAAATGTACTTGTTTCATGCGTTTTCATGAGGTAACTAAATTAAAATTGAATAGAGACTGCGGTTGCAAAACAATACAATATTAAAAAATATTTTACTTGAAAATGAGTACCACAATACTATTCTAACTCTCAAAAACACAACAGCAGGGAGACTCTCGATGTTACAGTATTATACACATGACAGACAATTTTAACTTAAATTTCAACAACTAAAAACTTAAAGCACATAAATTTATCATCAAACTATGCTTATTTCAACAGATTTTCTTAGCTCACCCTTTGATTATGATACACTACCTCAAAGTAGACATTTCGTTCCCTGTTTTGCAATAAAGAAAACTTTAGTTAAATTGTGCCACTAACAAATTGATATGTTTTATTACTGCTTTAGTATAAGAGTGTAACATGGGGTGGAAGATCAATCCACATTTTTTTCAGAAAATGTACATTAACTGTTTAATTGTCACAAACTACAATACCCCTTTACATTGATATGCCCTCCATGAGTCAAAGTACAGTTCGCCTGCCTGGTATACTCGTATGTGACTCATTACTTTAGTTTATTTGAGCTTACTTCAAAACGAGATAAAATAAAATAAAAGTTATATTTGTAAAGTCCGTTTTAATGTCTAAATTCTTCACTGCATAGAGAAGAGCTAAAATCAATGAGCTTTGGTACACATAATTTAAATCACCGAGTAAGGCAATGTACGTGCTAAGTAGTACAAACAGTAACAGAACCTAAGTAACATGTTTCATTGTTGTAACGTGTTTCACGAATGTCCACCTGTTCTACCAGCTGGGGACACCATGAAGTTCCCCGGAGAGGAGGACGTACCGCCCCGAGTTATGCCCCCACCTCCGCCCGCAGTGCCCCCGCGCCGCCCGACGCCTCACAACCGGACCCGGGCACGACCTTGCACCAAACGAGTCGACCTATACATGCTACAACCCGGCCGTCTCAACAACAGCGGCAGCTTCAATCCTCTTAAGGGGAAGCTTACCAACTGTCATGTCACTGGATGTGAGAGGTTAGTTGTTGGCTTCTCCATTAATCTTCTGTACCTATACCCTCCCTCTTACTACACAACTGAATCTCACCTCTTTTCTCAACGTCCTTTTTCATCTTATCTACCGGTACACACTCAACAAAGTCTTCCTCTTGGTCACTTTCTTTCCACCACCAACTATATTTTTTTAAGCCCATCAATATTAAAAGTAAAGTCATTGATATTCTTCTTACGTTGACTTTTGCGGCTGGTGTCATGAGAGTTCATGGTGGTGTTTTTCAGTGGTCAATTGTCTCAGCATAGCCACTGAGGATGCCTCTAACAAGAGCGAAACTTCTGGCAAAAGTGTATTAGTGAAGACACGGTTGAGACCGAAAAACACCACCAATTTATTATTTATTTATTTATTTATTATCATCACATTAAATCAATGATTGACAGGTGATTTGTCATCAAACTAAAATCTATTGTAACAAAACAACAATCATAATATTGAATACTTAAAAATAATTATACATTTGTTAGGAAATCTTCCAGTGAAAAAAATGCCTTCTCCAGAAGCCATATCTTAAGTGTTTTTTTTCAAATTTCAATATGCAATCAATTTCTTTTATTGTTGAAGGCAGCTTATTATAAATTTTGGGTCCCATATATTGTGGGGATAAATGAAATAATTTTAGTCTATGTTGCATTGGTTTTATAATTTTAGCGAATTTCCCATATAGGGAATAAGCTATTACCATAGGTCTCATGGTAAGACCTAGACCCGGGACCGATTTACTTTTTCGTTTTGAGGTCCCCAGAGGCCAAAAACACCATCCGTTCAAATTCATATATATATATTTATATATGTGTCCGTTAGCGCGATAACTCGAGCAAAATTGATCCGATTTTGATGAAATTTGGTACAAACGTGTAAACCTACATTTATTCGAACGAGTTCGCAAACCAGCATAATCGGACCATGGGATCAGGGGTTTATGGGGGGTTTTATGGGGTAAAAATGGGTTTTTCTCATTTTTGACCCTAAAAACTTTAAATTTCTAAATTTCTCTCTAGACCATTTTGAAGAGCTTAAAAAAACAAATAATTTAGTATATTGAAGTTTTTTTGAATGTTCATTGACTACGGAGAAAATTAAAGAAATTGTAAATTTAAAATTCCCATGTTATTCTTATGGAGAATAAATAAACTGTTCTAGTTTGCTTGTTTATGGATATATTTCAATCAAATTTGGCAATTTGGCTTATTTCATACTAAGCTATCAATATTTCAATTGAAAAAAACACACCTCAACATCTTTCCCGTAGCAGCAAACCTAACTACTCACTAAAATTAATGTTATTTAAATAGGAAATAAATCTGAAAATTTATAGGGAATATTTTAGTAGAAATCGAGCCTGGTGAATGGAAATTCGCTTAGTATGCAGGTTTGCTGCGACGGGGGTATTTTTGTATCTTGTATCATGTTTGTGAGAGGGCTGACTCTCCATAAGTGTATCAAAGTTACTCTTGACCATCATAGAAATATAATAAATATAAGAGCTGTATAAAGTGAGAATTTTGAATCGACTGAAATATTCTTGGCAATGTGTATCTGGAGGAACCAAGAACTCTCAAGTCATTGATATTGTTTTTATGAAAATGATGTGGAAATAAGTTGTCTGATTAAAGAAATTTCCTCTTTAAATATTCTTGGAAATCAGCTTTCCCTCTCTTTTCTCCACATCCCTCTTCTCTACACCCTTCTTCACCTAATTTATACACCCTATGTCTTCTTCTTTATCAATCAGTATTTTTATGCTGAACGTGACTATAGTACTTGTCATGAAAGATAGGTGTGAATACAATGGTGGTATAGTAGTTTACGCAACGATCACGTAAAGACACGCTTTAAGACTCAAGTAGAAAATGTTTTAAAACAAAAAGTATGTACCATCCTTACATACCGTTAATTTTCTCCATAAATCAATAACAACTATGGTGTTAAATTAAAGCTTTGTTAAAAACGTTTATTTATAACATTATACATAAAAGAACTAATTAAATTGTTCAGTTGGAAAAATATTTAGAGATAGTAGAATGAATATTTACTTTTCTACCCTCTCACGGTACAACCATGAATCCTGATATTGTTAGTCAAAACTCAAGAAGCCAAGTAAAAGTATCAAAAACTTCATCCTCTAAGCCATTTGACCTTTTACCCACTTACCACCATTTTACCTTTTACATACTTTTGTGATGTTCCACCACAAAAGCAAAACTCCTTAACTTTTAATAATCTAACATTGATGACTTTGATGAATATTTAAAATCTAAGATACCTTATACTCAGGACAGTACACTAGCCTTAGATTTAAAGTATAACTCAACATAAAATTACGTTGCAGGCCTTTCAGTGTTCAGAAGATTCCGCACAGCAACCTGATCCTGCTGGTGGTGGACACAATGTGCCCGTGCGGTAGCAAACAGCTGAGCATTGCGGCCCAGGAGTTGCCACCTCCAGAGCAATGTCGGGTGCCCGTGTCTCACTCGCTTTACCGCAGACGGCCGTCGAAATGCATCAGCTACCACCCTGAGGTATAGAAGTCCGATTATCCGAGCCGCCGGGTTAACCAAGGCAAATATAGTACTGTATATAGCAGTTAATATGCAGTTAGCAGTTAGTATGTAGCTATATGTTAAAGATTTATTAGCTTATTCATACATTCATTTGGACCTTATCGCCTCGCCCGTAGTTCATAACTATCATACCAGAAACTCAGTGATGATAGGATTACGGGTACCAAGAGTTCTCAAATCAATCAATTTAACAAATTCCTTTTACATTGCTAATTGCTTGTTGCGTAATATTCCTCCAGAAATTAGGGACCTGCGAGTGTCACTGAGTGTATATAAGAGGGTTATCGCTAATTGGCTGATGGAGATAGGCCTTGACAATACAGAGTCGCTTATCAGCCCAGAATATCTCGTTTAGACCTAACCAACTGATAACTGGACTATCAATTGTACCTTCTACAGCACTCTTACTTGACGGAATCTACGCCTCAGTAAAATTGGGAATTGAAAAAAAAAAAAGTTAATTTGTTCATCAGATGTAACAAATTAACATAGTTATTGTATTATTATTATGTATTATTATTAACATAGTTGTGTAATCAAGCAATGTGTTCCCCAAGTTATTGAGTTGCACATTGTATATGGTTATTTGGTTGTTATAATTATAATTGTATATTAAATTAAATTGTATGCTTATTTTACCAAGTTATTGTTTTTTTTTATTCTTTTTTTTATGTGTAGTGAAGTGTGAAGAACTTTTATTTTGATGAAGCAGCCAGTAAGGACTCTATCACGCACAGGTCATTGTGACCCATGTGATATTTTTATTTCTTAATGTATTTGCTGCAAAATAATGTGTATAAATAAAGAATTTCTCTCTCTCTCTCTCTCTCTCTCAGTTTTTTTTCAATTTCATTCCAGGTCCACAGTATTGATAGACTGGGAAATGCAGTTCCACCGGTAATATATCGATTGTTGGTATGAGTTGGTAAAGAGTTTATTTAATCATAAACAACTTATTACTGTAATAATAAAACATATTCTCCAGTTTCAATAAGATTTTTGTCTAATTATAATTTATAATTAATTATTACCGCCGTGTTATCTGAGTTTTTGACTATCCGAGGTAGTCTCGGTCCCTTTTATCTCAGATAATCGGACTCCTACTGTAGATGGGTAAATAATAGGCCTAAGGTTCAAGGGTGGGTATTTTGGATGAGATTTGTTACGTTGACATATATCCAGGACTTGGAACAAAGCTTTTTTGTGGAATTTCTTGTCATGTATGTCAGTCCGCATGATCTCAGGATGTGAGATTTTCAGTTTCAAATTGTTAGTAAGCTCACTCATTCTTCCCCGTTGCACACAGATGCCTCTAACACTCAGCTCATACAGATAAAAAGGTACCTGAAGAAGCACTGGTGAATCCATGATTGGAATTTTGCACAATACGATTTACAAAAAACCTAAAAAGTGGACCTTTAGAGCCCCCTAGCCCTTTTAGCTCCACCCCCACCGGTCAGTACTTTTAGTGTGTCGTTTAAGGACCCTTCCCCTACAACTGTACCAAAATTGGCTTATACATGATTTTTTTCCTCCTATTTGGTATTTTTTTGTCTTCATTGTCTGGACTACAAGGGCAGTCTGATCGTATTGCAGACCATACTTTGTGACTCCAGGCTTTTTTATTTTTCACGGGTAAGAAAGTTCAAAATTGATTCTTAGAGTAAAATGCGTTGCTCCCCATAATTTTATCCTAAAAGATTTTCATCCGGATGCAGTGTGCTTGGTGGGATGTACTATAGGTATTTTGACAAGTGTTTTTAGCTTCTTGGGGCTCTAAAACAAAAAGTCAAGTTACTTAGAAATGGTATATTTTTAAAACACGTGCTCTTGAAACTTATTTACCTTGTAGTAAATCATATTTTCAACACTACGTTAATATTGACAAAATCTGTGTTTTGTTTGACAGGAGATAGAGATCAAGCAGTGTGGAGGGTGCAACCGATTGGTTGGACTACTGACTCTCATAGTCACATCTGGACTGTTGCTACTACACACATCATGATCTTCACATCATCTCTAAACCTGCAATTCCTGTTACCAGAAACAAACTCATGTTATTTAGGTTTTTGAAACCTGACTTTGACTCTGTGATTCTTTTGGTGTAAAAGAATCTTGTAGCTAAAACTAAAACTAGAGACTTGGTCCAGAGGATGGCAAATGCAGTCAAAGGAAAAATGTAGGTTAAGTATTTTATCATGGACTCTAAACGAGAGGGAAGACAGGTAGTGGTTTAAGTGACGGAGGGCCTGGAGATTATTGTGAGCTTAATTACCGATAGTGGAAAATGACATAGAGGGTACAACCCGTGTAAAACCTCGAAAAATATGAAACAGAAATCAAAATTTTAAATTTTAGTACAATATCAGGCTTGCATGCTATCAAACTATTATCACCCGAGAAAACCCAAATTGTAAGTGTGATAATTCCCGTTGTAAAAACTTTTGATGTTATTATCATGTAAAAACACTAAGATTCACCTATTTTTGCATTACTGTCCTAATGTAAGTCACTTGTGAACTGTGTATGTCTTTGAATGAACAAGTTCGACACATTTTTGTAACGATTTCGATGTTTTGTACAGTAACTAAACTGAAACGCAACAAACTTTGTCACATTTCGTGGTTATTTGGACAAAATTCATTGATTACGCATTTGGTTTGTCTTACATAAGATCGAGTCGTGTGTATTTTAAGATACATTTATAAAAATTAAAAATCTACTGTATGTGTATACCGGTTGATGAAATTGTACTTAACTCTTAGCTTTTTACATTGACTACAAGTTTGTTTGTAAGGTAGGTTAATGTACAATTACAATTTATTGTGTAATTAGTAGGTTAAATTGAAATTAAATAATTACAACAGAGCTAAAATATTTTTTAACTAATGAAATTTATAAAATGTAGGTTAGGTTTAGTAAATCAGTGCACTGTTAATTGTTGTTTAATGATTTTTGTTGTATATTTAAATAAAATAGTAATACAAATTACTGATTTGTTTTAGAAGCTTCTGAGTAAATACACGATTTGAATTGTATATTTTTCATTTTAGGCATTGAAGGTTGAAGCAGATTTGCCTAATGATAGACTACCAGCCTGTTCTTAAACTTTAATCTACTTTTTATTATGTCAAGATTACAAAAAAAGGACCATGATTTTATATTATTACTTTTCAAATTAGCATGATTACTGACAAACTTTATTGTTTATTCTCGCTTCACAGGATATTTTGTTTCAACAAAAACTATACCATTAGTATCTTCATCTTTTGATTCGTAATTGTAATTTGTTTATGAGCTATGAACAATTGAAATATTTTAGTAGTTACTTTTATGTCAATACTCTCCAAAATGTGAACAAACATTGTTCCATTTACACTTTACATTCAAAGAACAAAAACATACTAAAGAACAGCTAAAGTGATGTTGGTTTTACTTTTATTTGCTAGTACAATTCAATTTAGTTATCTAACTTATTAGAAATACCTTTTGGTAAAACCACTTTATAACATTTTTTAAAATTTAGAATCTATAAAGTATAACCTTTTTTTATGTCTACGAGCAGTTTGAAATCTTGTGATACATTTGTGTTTGAATGCAAAGCAATAATATAAATTAAGTAAGCGATATTGATATGAGGCGAGTTGGAGCAAGATAATTTTATTTACGGGCCTTCCTAACTTACTGGCCACTTCACACTGAAACTGACAAATAATCCCCAACTACTAGTCTTACTGTGACAATAATTTTATAAGGTTTTATTATAATTCACTGAGATTCTATTAGGCAATGTTTACGATTAAGCATCGTTAAGGAAAGTTGTTAAGAATGCGATTCCGCTTGACGTTTTAACATTTTCTTCAAAATCTAAATCAAATTTGGTAATCGAACGCAGCAAATAGTATATAGCTGTCTACAAATATTTATTACCGATGATTGTTAAAATAATATAATGGAGTATATATTTATAATTTCTACGTAGAGAATCTATACAGTTGTTGTAGAATGTAGTGTTTTGTTGTGTAGTATTTATTGATGTTCTGTTAAGAATTTGTCTGTTTAGAATTATCAGTCGTGAATAGCCAGAGCAAGATGCCTAAAATTCTGTTTGATAGTCATATCGTTTAGACACATATCTCGTGTGAAAAATATAATATTTTTAAAAATAATTTTTTTACAGGTAACTTAATGTTATTCAAATTGGTACAGTTAAAAATTATATCACTATCATTAATTATATCATATTATAAGAAATAAAGATAAAGAAGTATAATTATTCTTGAAACTTTGCGTTTACAAACATATCAATTACAAACATAGTTGTATAATAGAAAAATAGGTATATATTACAATTATTAAGCTTGCAAATAAATGGTCAACAATCGTGAAAATTCTACAACACTATAGTCCATTTCAATGACATTTGATTTCTCATACAACAGACTTTTTTTACAAGTCAACATTCAGACCGACTATTCAAATAGTTTGATATTTTTAAAATAAAAAACAGCTACTGCAAGAAAATTGAATGTACATAACTAGAGAATTAGAACACTACCCAAGTCAGTTATAGGCTATGCTTTGGCAGTTCAAGTTTTGGAGATAATTCTGCCCTATCTGTTTTGTGGCACAATGTCATGGCTGGTTCGGAGAAAGTTGCGTTTATTTCAACAATTTTTCATTGCGTTCTCGTTTGAGGGACATACGCAAAAGCGAAGTTCAATAACTGTGAAGATAAACTGTTTGTACATAAATAATATTTATCGTACTTATTGTCATTAATATATTTATTGATATAATGCGTGTTTGCACTACTAGCAAACATAATTAAGTCTTCCATTTTTAACTCGATAAAATGTGGTGCATCGATGCCTAGCCTACCTCCCCCCCTCTAGAATGTTTTAGGCACAGAGGTTATTTTCAATATTTGTGTAAGTGCTTACGTTTAGTGTACCGCTCTTACGTTGGATGTTTGAATGTGGGTGTGAGGAGTTTTCTATCGAGAGCTTTTCCATGTTTCTTTAAAGGTTGATTTAAGGAACACATGTAAAATGTTTTGTTATCTATTCAGAAATGTTTAGTGTGGTCAGTTTTTTTTACGTGTGTTGTAAAAAAGGAACACTATCTTGTAGTCATTTATAGTGTATCTTTCCAGATTATCTCAAACAGACCAGTGATAGATAACATCTCTGTCAACCTACTCTCATGTAGAACCAACATTGTACACTAATAAAAGCTTTCAGAAATCTTTTTAGTTTGAGTCCAGTCTTTTGCAATTCCAACACAGAGAATCCACTTTTCAAAATAGTTTTGAAATATAACTGACTTTGAACACTGTAGTACGTTTTAACAGTAGGCTTAGGCTAGCTTAGCTGTAAACAATTTTTACTCAAGAAAAATCAATAAGCCTCTGAAAGAGTTTGTCACTATAGGTTTATTATTTCTTTTGAATTACTGTGGTACGATTTGATGGGGACATAAAAGTTGCCATCATTTTTAGTTTCCCTTTCAATTCAGCATTAAATGTTAAATGTGTAAGAAAGAAAAAAATATTTACACTCCACTGTAGCTCAATTTAACCAAGTTATTTTCCCAATATTATAAAATTTCCAATAATGCCAACATGGAATGTGATGTCTAACTTCATTGGTGGTGAATAAGTAAAACAGTTTGCAAGTAGATTTCACAACACTTTGGAATATTTTGTTTAAAAAATTATTGAATGCGAAGAAAACTTTAACAGTTTTACATCAGTATATTACATCTATTGCCTTCCATGTATACTAGAATTTAAATACCATCGAGACAAACTAAATTTAATGATACCACAATTCTTCTCAATTATAAAATCACAATAATGCGGTAATAAAATTAGCAACTCAGGCCTATACTAGGAAAAAAAATTAAAAGATTGGCTAAAAACGTATTTATTACAAAAACCACTAGGTACTCATCATTATTAACAAAAACAAAACAGAAAAAATACGAAATATAAACATAGATAGTATATTACTCATTACAAAAACTTATACAGTACATACAAGACCAACTATACTGATCATTAAGAATATTTTACATTGGAATAAAAATATTAAATTAATAATTTACAATAATTATTCTTATTTACAGACATCCTTTTGGTGAGGTATAACGGTTTTGTTTGCAAAAATTACAAAACTTAAATACTTAAGAGTAAAAGTGACTATTTATTTTCCACCATCTTGATGGGGATACCTCTGGCTACTAAAGCCGCAGCGTTACTGTAAGCTTGAGATGTCTCCCTCGCAAAGCGCATCAAACGCAATAGTTCTGGCTCCTAAAAATAAATTCAGATCAGTATACACCATCCACTAATACATACATAGTTATAGTTAAGTCTTGAGCTGAGGAAGAGACAAGGCTGTTCGCAAGTGGAGACATTACCGGGGTAAATGCTTCAACCTAATGGACCAAAAGATGTTTAATCCTCGCACTTCCGGAAAAGTAAAAAATGAAAAGATCCTGCACTAGAGGCTTGAGCTACAAAATTTAAAGGGACACATAAGGTAGTATTGACAGCTTTAGAAAAATATTGTTATGGTTTGGACGAGGCAAGACACATGGAACTTAGATGGAAATCTGAAGATAGCAGATGACAGAAGAAATGGAACATGTTTGGAGAGGTAAAAAAAAATCACTTATACCCAAATCCCAAAACGTTGGGTATTAGTTTTTTTACAATCATGATGGGAAATGTCAACAATAACCTCCTAAATAACAGAAGTAAGTAAGTTTGAGTAGGAAAACACAAAACTAAACCTAGGAATAAATAATCTCAGAAGAGCTACACTTAACACTGTTTTCATGTAAAACTATACAGGGTGGCTGAAAAGTAACTTACACAACCCCTTAACTTTTCAACCATTTGAGATATTTGAAATCTGTTTGTAGCAACCTTCTTATGTATGACGGGCTACAATAGTTATGGATTATGGTAAATTTTGAAATTTTTGCCCTTAGGGGTAGTGGGGGTATGGGGTAGCTCAACATTTTCAAATGACAAGCACAGTCGAGTTTGGTATCATTTTACAGGTCTTGATGAAACATAAAAATTGACATAAAGAAACCCAAAATCGGCCCACTAATAACAAAATGGCGCCCTAAAACGTTTCAAATCCAAATAACCATGAGGGTAGCTGAAAATTAACTTGCACCCCCTTTAACTATTTGAGATATTTGAAATCGGTTTGCAGCAACTTGTTTGGATATGAAGGGCTACAATAATTATAGTCAGTTTTGAAAAGTTTGCCCTTAGGGGTAGCACAAAATTTTCAAATAGCAAGTATAGTCGAGTTTGGTATCATTTTGCAGGTCGTGACGAAACATAACAATTAACATAAAGAAAATAGAAATTGGACCATTAATAAAAAAATGGCAGCTAAAAATGATTAAGACAATGGTTATTAAAAGTAACTTTGAACTGCCAGTTTGTTATTAATGGTCCGACTTCTATTTTCTTTATGTTAATTGTTATGTTTCGTCAAGACCTGCAAAATGATACCAAACTCGACTATACTTGCTATTTGAAAATTTTGTGCTACCCCCTACCACCACTACCCCTAAGGGCAAAATTTTCAATTGGACCATAATTATTGTAGCCCCTAAGTAGGCCTACCTTGTTTGGCGCGAGCATGTCCCCTGTTGTGCGGAAGGGCTTGAGATCTATCGGTTCACCAGGTAGCCAGCTGTTGAGTATCATGACGGTCATACAATCTGTGTCATCACTGGTGACAGTCCACAGCATGCCTATTACACAGGCACTTCCAACACAACAAATATTTACAGTCTGATCATTGTATTATATATTGATATAATATGTTGTTTTTTAAACTAGTGATTTGTCTATAAACAAATTTATCAATTCTCGATACTGATGCCTGAAAAATCTATTCTAGTTACCAATACCGTTTCTTATAGTTTTACAAAATTGATTTTTCTGAATGGATTGGTTATACTAGACCAACTCCTGTCTTTATGTCTATCCATGAAGTATTTTTAAGGTGATGAATTGTCATCTTCTGGGAACTGGGATCAATGCAAAATCCTGAATATCCGTTAGTCTGACAAGTAGGCCTACATTGTACTTTTCCCTTTTATACATCCCAATTGTTAAATGCTAATGCATACTACTGTTTTTGTTTTTGTGTTCTTCGGCATTGTCTATAGAAATATTTTGTTGACAAATGGAAATGACAAAACATAGATTCTGATCATTGACAACAAATTTTCTTCTAAAAACATCTTTGGGTGCATAGGTTTCTACAGTAGTTCAACATTTTTTAAATAAAGTAGGCCTACATGCTGAAATTTTGGATTTTGTGATACAAAAACTGTACACCATTTACCTGCCGGCCATTATGTATTTGTCTGAGACGCCAGTAGGTTCCGCTCTACCACCGAGATCCTGCAGGGCGACACTACTGCAGCCAAACAGTAGTGGCAAGGCGACCACTCGCAACTGGGAAATGTCTTCTGGGCGGAGGTAGTGTGAGCCGTTAAAGTGACCACAATATCTGTGAGAATCTCAAATATTAATGTAAATTTTGACTAGTTATTTTTAGTAATTTTTTTAGTAGTTTTTGGCTAGTAAGCAGCTTTTAAGCAACATTAACGCAGTCGAGTCACGGTCGTTGCCCGAAGACCACGATTCTAAAATAAGTTAACTGTGAAAGGATATTCATGAAGAATATGAACATAATAAATTGCTTTCTTACATATCAAAAAATAATTATGTACTAAACCATTCTTCTCACCAGTATGTCACATGTGAGAACTTTAGTTCATTTGTTGAATCAATTAATTTTCAGAAAGCTTTTTTTTACATTTGTTGGTAATTAATTTAAGAATATACCATACAATTTCATTAATTAAATTTGAATCAAAACAATCCGAGACCTGGAAAAGCCCGACTAAAATAAAGCTAACTGAGGATTTCTTGTTTTCAATTTATTACTGTAGTGAGTATCCACTTTGCAAGTGCACTACTGACTTAGTAAATTTTTTTAACTAAATAAAGTTAGCTAGATTCCTGAAATTTAATTATATTACTAACAAATAAATATAGAACTATACAATATTTAAATAAACTCACCCTAAATTCTGAAATGAATTGGTTGGTGGTGACCAAAACGATTGCATGTAACAATTAATAAACAAATGAATTACACACTCCTTATCTACAAGAAACACTTCAAAAAATGCTTAATAACAGAATTGGTAAACACACAGCAGTGGGGATCTAAGGGGGCAAAGGGGAAATCGCCCCTTCCCCCCCCCCCCAGACATTGGTAAATAAATCTAGTTAAAATACTATAGTTTTAAATTGTAGATTCTCTACAAACATGAGTTTACAGTTCAAATTTTCCAAAAATTTTCAGGGATGGCCCCCCTTGACCCTCCATTTCCTCAGGACCCCCCCCCCCCTCCACTGAAAGTCTACCCTTACAATCCAACTCCCCCCCCAATCCGGAAATCATGCCCTGGGTCCGCCACTGACACACAGCCATACAACTGATTACTTACAGGAAAACATTATGATCAACCAGAGCAGAGCAGAACTCATTCTCAGACGGACTCTGGCCCGATACGCCTTTCCACTGTGGCACACGCTTCTGCAGAAAACCCATCAGTCGAGACTCCATCTCCTTCAAATCTTGCCCAGGATTTACCACATAGAAGCCCAAGTCGAGATTTGAAACTAATCTGGAAAAACAAAATCAACTATTGTCACATAACCTTTTCAATAATGTAAAAACAAAGCTGCAAAGTGCAAATACCCCTGGTGCAACAAACCTGCAGACTAACCGAATTACCATTTGTAACCTCGCTCGATTTCTAATAAAATATTCGCATCAAATTGTTGGATCAATTTCCTATTTAAATACCATCTATATTAAAACAAGCTATTTTCCTGTAGGTGTGCAGAATCTCTTTATGAATTAAAATAGGCTCAAAGATAAGTACAAAAAATGAATTTGAAATTAACAAAAAATTAACATGGGCTTTATGGGTTGCCATGCTGGTGACGAAATAACAACAAAATGTAAACAGAAAATCAAAACAAATGTAAGAATTTCCAATCACATGTTTGATTTACAGTGTGAGGTGAAAAATATAGAAGTCTGTGTATAGTCGAGTTTTCGACCACTGGACGACCTCTAGTTAAGTTTAATGCGTAGCCTACTTAGTGATTGAAAATGTCTAC